TTTCAGGCCAAGTCGAGTTATAAAATCGACTTGCGGCCGGCAATTATATCAGCCGACCAACGGTAAACGATCGCTGCGATCGATCAATTAAGAAACGCGGCGACTGCATCGGTATCGGTATTAGGTTTTGGATTTGGTTTTGGTTTTAGTTTTAGTTTTGGTTTTGCTTTTGTTATGGGTTATGGTTTCGGTTTGCCTTAGTTTGGTTTCATTATGTTCGCTCTGGCATCGTCGTGGATTGCCGCATAAAATGTAGTTCAAATCACTTTCGAAAACACAAATATATAAAGGAAAACATTGCATTGTTGTGGGGCAGTTAAACGCTTGCCTCAGTCCCAACGGTCGTCGCATTCACATTCACTTTTCTTAAGAAACGCAGCCCCACTCATTTGAATTTCTAATCGGCCGCCGAAATGTTTTATTATCGTCGTATTACTATTATTATTTAGATTCGAAAATGTGGGACTTATTTGATTTCGTAATCGGTGAGCATTTCGCTTTTACACCTCGGCCTCATCCCATCTGGGAGTCTTGAAGTCTTGAAGTCTAGCTGTGGGTCTGGGTCTTTGCCTTTTGAGTTCATTGCCAGAACTGAGGGGAACCGGTTTCCATTTCTGTTTCAGTTTCTGTTTAGTTGTCGGTGAAATTTATGATGCATAATATTTCTTTTATTTGCCATTGTTTGTGGTCATAGGCATCAGCATCAGGCAACAGCACCGTTGCACTCGAAATGTCGAAATGTCTCGTGGAGACGTGGGCCCCCAGATGCAATTGAAAGTTCCCAGAAAAAAGAGCTGAGGATTCCCAGAAGGCTTACGGCAGTTTTAGGGAGTAACCAAATGCTTTAACCGTTTAACACATGTTTATGAATACGTTTGAGGTAAGCTGATTTCGGGCTGGTCATTATAACCAACTCCTAAAGTCATTTTTCCAAACGGTTTTATTTATCTTTGCCATACTTAAATATCCAAAATGATGGATTTACTCTGAAATAGTCGAGGATCTTTAATTAATCACTATTTTAATAGGTTCTGTGATGATTGATCTGTTGTGATCAAATCGATGTGAAGCTTTAAACTCATCAGTTATTTGTTAGCAGGTAAATTTTTGGCTTATTTTATAGATTCTGCATTTGATTTCTTCTACATCACATCGTTGGGTAGATTTTAGAAATGCAAAATTCGAAAATTACCTCATTGTGCACATATAAATAATCATATTTATATATGCAATTAAATAGTTTATATTATTTATGTTTAGGCCCCCATTCCAGATCTACAAATGATCATGTTTCTGTACACGCAAATTGGTATTATAAAAAAGAAATGTTTTTAGGCTCCATTTCCAGATTTACATATAATCCAGTTTGGCTTAGCCACCTATAACTAGTAATTAGTAGATAATTAAGTTATCCGACTGTGGATAATTCTCGGCACCATAAACCCATTTGATCTGCTTCGTTTTCCATATCTTCTCGTTGGCCACCTTCAACTGCTCCAGTTTTCGAGATAATATCTCTCATCTTCTCGGTTTGAGTGCTTCAATAATAACTGTTGTTTTTGGGGTTTTCTCTGTTTGTTTTTCAGATTGCCAGAGGTCAGCAGTCGTTGAACCCAGACATTGACCTCCACCTTCTCCCCACCCCTTTGGCGATCGACGCACGACAAGTCTGGAGTTTTGTTTTATTTTTGGTTTTCAAGTTATTTGGTTTTTAGCGTACTTTGCGTTTGCTGTTTGCTGTTTGCGTTTTTCATTTGACTCCGTGGCTGTGGCTGTGGCATTGGCAGTGGCTTTGGGCCATCTCTCCCACCTTTCGAGAGGTTACTTTCGGCTATCCCCTCTTTCATCTAGCCATCTGCGTTTATGTGTAATTACATCGGACTTTTGGGTTTTGGATTTTGGGTTCCTCGGATCTCGGGCCGATACGCCTTTTGGCTTTTGTCCACTTTGATCGCCGCTTTCAAACATTTTTCTTCTAGCTGCTTTGGGCATTTGAACAAGAGCAGGTAGCCCATCTTTTCCCCCCCCACCATCCTAATAATTATGTTTATGTTTTCTTGGGTAATTTGCATTTTTTACAAACTTTGTATTGGCTGCGAAGCGGCATAAAGACATTTATTAGGCATTTATCAAGCTGGTGTCAGGATCTCACGTTGTTTTTTTTTTGTTTGTTTGGCTGACCGGTTTCGGGCATTTTTACTTTCAATTGCCAAACGGGTAAATCGACGGGAAAATCTTACTACCGCCGTCTGCGTCCGCAATGCGCAAAAAAAGCGAAATTTTAATAGACCAGCAACAACCAGAAATGATGCATCAAATTCTAACCGGTTTTCGGGGCTTTTCTTCTCCTTTTTTTTGGGTGGCATTTTTCGCAGGAAAATTGGCAAAAGAGTTTTACAAGGAAATTTAAAATAAACAAGTGGAGATGTTTAAGCGAAGAATTAGTATGTGTAGGTAGCATAAAACAAAATGACTGGCTATACTTTTTTTTATATAATTTCCTAATATTAAAACAAAATCTTATACATAAAAAAAACAATGTAACAGATTAAGGATAATAAGAAGTTTTGTTTTAATTTTTGAATTTTTGTAATTAACCCAAAACTTAGTTTTTCTGAAGTCTTCGAATTTAGTAAATAAAATAAACCCATAACTCTGATAGAAAATACAGATAACGATAAAAAGAAATTACATCTTCTTTTGGATTTAGAATTTCAATTCAGGATTTTTTTATAAAAAAGTGTGTAAGCAATTTAGAAATAATTTGGTAAAGTGATTGAGTAATCGAAAAACGTCTGATTAAGAATGACTAATAATGACTGTTATACAGGGATGGTGAAATAGCGAATATCTTCACAAAAAGTATGCTGAGTGTAACCAACTTAAGCAGAAATTGAGTCTTCATTTGTGGGACTAAGACTTGTGCTTGTGCTCTCATCTTTTTTCTTAACGCTCCGCCTTAACGGACTGGTGATCGAGTGCAGATCTTCAGCTTGGCCTGAATCGCAACGGGAAGATCCTCGAGCTCAATCCGCTGCCATGGCCAATCAGCCAGTCTCAATCACTTGACCATGTACCCCCTTCCCTCCTTAATGGCCGCCCCTGCATCACCCCCTCCATCCGTCGATCGTTTGCCGACTTGTCCATTGCAATTCTTGAGGCATTTTATTTGGGTCATGGACAGTCATCTCGTTCGATGTCCCCCTCCTCGGTCTTGTCTCTACAGGTTTTTCGACTTTTACTTGCAACTGGCATTGGCCAGGCCAAAAAGGCATTTTTTCTGCCTTTTTGGTTCCGTGTTTCAACTGTTTGTTGGTTTTTATTAAATACGAAACACAGTTTTTTAGGGGATCCAGAATGTTTAGTAAGCTGCCAAAACAGCTGTTAATCATAATTTTCTCTTGTCACTTTTTGTCAAAAGATATATCATTTTAAATATTTAACCTGAAGTACCATATTTTTTGCAAAATTACGTATTTAATTGTAATTAATGTGCTTTAAAACATAAGTCTGTTTTTAATAAGTTAAATTAAAAACTTAAATGTGTTGTTTTCTTGTTCGTTCAAAAGAGGGTCCAAAACCAGCTGCAATGGATTCTATGGATTGTTCCTAATGATTCTGCTATTACTTATTCTTCCAGTAATCTCTTCCAAAAGAAAAACTTTTAAATACACATTTTTCAAAAATGAAAAGAAATTATCAATAAGATTTTATCTTGTATTAAAACATATTCACAGATCAAAAAACGAAAAATCCTCGATCTTCTCTTTTAATTCTAAAATTGTAGACGATCATTTTGGATTTCCTGAGGTGAGGAGCTAAGGAGTAGATTGTATCTTATGTTTTTGTGTCATGATGTGGAAGATTTTGGAACAGATTGTTTATCGAACATGACATTTGTGGCACACTTTTGGACTTAAGGCCTAATACCCCAAGATCTTGATGTGTTCATCTTGGGAAGAGGGAGAATGAGAGAAAGAGAAGGTGGAGTACTACGAGAATTGGAGTCCAAACAATGGCGATCACAAATTTCACAGCTCTTACCATGACTTTGGTTTTGGCCCCCAAGAAAGATCAAGACGGCTCCAAAAATATATTATACACAAAACGTTGCCAACTGTGCAAATAAAGCAATAACAACAATGGGGCACACACATGCACACCTGTGGGCAAAATAAGAAGAAGAAAAACCAAAAAAAAAAAAAAAAAAAAAAAAACAAAGATTAAAAGAACAACAACATGTAAATGAAAAACCAAACAAAACCATTTTACAATTGTGGCCAAAGCATTGTTGTTGGTGTTGCCTTTGTTGTTTGCCTGTTTTCTGTTGTTTTTGTTTTTTTTTTTCTGCGGAAAGTCGGGAAAATCAGTCAATGGAACGTCACGGCAGAGCAGCGGCCGCGACGCCGGCAGAGCGAGCGCAGCATCGGGGGCGTACTAAGTTCAATGAAATACAGGCAAAGGGAGGCGAAGAAAAGGAGGAAGAGGAAGACAAGCAAAACACACATACAAAAAATAGAAGATTTTCTCCCTGTGTACCAACTAAGCTAAACCCCTTTTAGAAGTTATTGAAATAAGATTTCGATTTATATATGTACTTAGGTTTTCATACAGAAATTTCTAACTGTTTTCAAAAGTAAAGTAGAAATAAAAAGAGTAAATACTTTGCTATAATTTCATATATTTTTTAACAACATATAAGAAAAGCCACATTTACCACCATAGACATTATTTAATTTTTGATAAATTAGCTTGGTGATACATTGATACATCTATTCTTCCCGAAATGTTTCATTTTTTGAAGTTTGATTATATTCTTTATAGGGTTGTTTATATATGTATTTTATATTTGTTTAAGAAATATTAGTATTCTATTCCATTTGTGAATATCTTAATTTATTTAAAATTATATTTATTCTTTTCTGATGTACATATGCAACTAGTTACAATGCATTTAAAACACTTTAAATGGTAGACTTTATTTAAGTACATTTACTAACCTCTTCAACTTTTTGCTGCATTTTGTTTAAAAATTTGTTTTGCGGTTGCTGCAAATATTCGTTTTAACACTTAACAGAACAAAATTTGACAAAAAAAAGGGACGAAAATAAATGTTTCAATTGCGACACATTCACGGGATCGCCTATTGAAATTGCACTCCTGCAGATTGCAGATTTACTCCTGGTTTTTCTCTTTTTATCGGCGGCTGCGCGCGCGCAAAAAGTGCAGCGAGGAAAACAAACAATCAAAACAGACGGATGAATGGGAGTTGTAGTAGGCGCGAAGAATCGGAAATTCGGAGATATTTGGATGAACGACCAGCACGCAGAGCAATCGAAAACACAACTGGCGGCCAAACTAAAACGAGACGAAGACGAAGAATGTGGAGTGCAACCGACGATAACACAAACACAGCGCTGAAGCTAAAGCTCCCCCAAAAATCGATAGCGCCAGCGCCGTGTCTATCGAAAATACTAACATGGTGTCGGTATTTGCCAGGGATGCGAGAGAAATACTAAATACTCAAGCTAAGTCTGGCTTTTTTTTATACATTGCTATAAACCGTTATAATTGAAGATCAAAATTTTCATTTCAAAACAAAAAATAACTTCGACACCAAAAATGATTTTTTCAAGAGTTTTACATTACATTAAACAAAATATTTGTATACATTTTTTAAGACCATTTTCCTTGAATTGTATTATAGCCAAAATAATGACAGTTTGCTACTTAAAATTTCGATTCCAGGCTAACACCAAGATTTTTATTAGAAAATTGGCCAAGAATGACATTTTTTTTAGCTGTGATGATTTGAAAATGTATAACTAATTCACCGAGGTATGACATTCCCATTTACGACCACTATTTCCTAGGGTTTTGATTAAAAAACTTGGTTTTTTAGATGATTTTTTCGGTGTTAGAAAACATATTTTAATGGTTTTCTTTTTGTAACATAGCCAAAATACGACCCACAGCCATAAGATTGGCGGGTTTGTGCAACTAAGGATGAAAATATCTATTTCAAGTTGATGTGGAAAAAAAGTTTATTTTGACCTATAATGATTTTGACTGTTATTTGATAAAAAACCGAATCTTGTTTAAATTTATTTAAAGTTCTTAAATGACTTAACGGTTATTTAAATTATTAAATTTAAAATTTTTATTTATATGCAGTTTTTACAAATCCATTTTAAAGAAACAAATTGTAATTTTTTTTCCATGTAAACCCAGTTATTTTCTACAGTTGAAGCTGCATTCTGGAATTTATTTACAAAGTTTCAGTGCTCTCACTTGAACATGGTGTCAATGCAGGTGTCGATGGTGGCGTTGATCTCGTCGAATCCCAGGAGGGCGTTCTCGGTGGCCTTGGTGGTGCAGGCGGTGGCATCGGTGGCCACGGCGGGAACGCTTTTCCGCAGTCCGATGAGATGGCGCAACGACGCCTGCCCACTGGCGACGTACAGAAGGCACTTGGCATACAACTGGGTTTTGCAGGTCTTACGCCTAACTCCCCCTTCCTTGTAGGACTTGCACTTCCTTCGGAGCCGGAAGATCTGGTAGCCATCCACGGACAGCTGGTAGATGGACTTCTTGGTGTCCACGGCGAGATCGTAGGAGGTGACGGCGGCATCGCGTCCGCAGCCCAGGAAATCCAGTGTGGCACAGCCGACCACCTCGGCCACGTTGGTGGTCACATTCACGGCGCACTCCCCTGCGTCCAGGGCCTTCTGCTCGATGTCCTCCGCCAGCTTCTCCAGCTGCCTGATTGGGTACATGAATATCTTGAGCAGCTGGCGCTCCGTCAGACGGATAATGTCCCGGGCCAGGGCCTTCGATTCGGCAATGATGAATCGCAACATGCTGTCTACGAAGCCGAACTCATCCACATCCATGTTGCCCTCCTCATTCAGTTCCTGCTCCAAGTTGAATCCCATGTCCAGGTCAAAGTCCAGGTTCAAGTCCAGGCCCAATTCCTTGGACAATTCCTGCAGAGAGGCATCCTGGCCTTCCTCCAGGGGCACAGCTGAAACCTGAAGTCGGGAAAAAAGCAAGGACAATTAAAAGATACTCAGGTGTTGTGTTTAAATGATCAGTTTTGGTTTACAATTACCTAAATTTAATAATAGTCTTACTTCTCTTACATAACTTATATCACATTAATCATACGCAGTGTTGAAAAAAAAATGTTTGCTTACATATTTCCTATTGACTTTTCGAAATGGAAGAGTAATTTCAGTATTATTAAAATATGTTTAAGAAAACAACGACAGCTTTAAGATATATATAAGTTATATATATATACAACGTATATTACGCATACGCACTGTTCATATATCTTTTTTCACGGTGAAACTACGCAAACAACATTGCTTATTACTTTTTTTTATAATTTTGTATTTATTTTTTGTTTAGTTTTAGCACTCCAAATGTGATTAATATTTGAATATATAAACACAAAAAAAAAATATGATATATATAAATTCCAGCTTATGTTTTACTCACAGCTGCCAGGGCCAAGACCAAAACTAGAATAATACTCCTCATGGTTGATTGGGTTTTGCTGGGATTCCGCTGGGGATCCACCTTTTATATGACCGGGAGCCTCACCTGATTGCCAAATCGGTGGCCCCAGTTAATTAAAATATCAAGAGCCATTTTATCGGCCAATTGGTTTATTTCCCATTATTTGGCTTATGTGTCTTTGACTTACTTTAATCGCAATAATTTCCGTCTCCAATAATAACATTCTTCTCCAATCGTCCAGAGAGAACGGCTGAAAAGAGAGGTAACGAGAGGGAGTCCTCGATAAGGTCGCAAATTATATTTTCCTGAGCGATAGGAAACATCTATTACTGGATTCGCCAATTCAAAATCGTTCCAATCGGCGCATCTAAATAATGCCTTAATTATAGAAGATAATGTCATATAATTTATGGCTTTGCGTATGCCCTCGATTAAAAGTCATTGCGTAGTCTGAGAAAACAGTGGCCATTCAACCCGTGGAATCACTTGAGACTACTAAAGTGGTTCTTATTTGGGTTTTCCCGGTCTTATTTAATGCAAATATTATGATTATTGGATATCAGTTGACTTATAGATATATATATATATAAATATCTTAAAACATTTATCAAACCCATTTTTTGTTTGTGATTTTTATTGTTTGCAATATGATTGAAACATAAACAATGAAACAGTATTCTTAAAAATTTAAGTTTATATTTTCTAATTTGTTTTATCAATTCTTTGAAGTAAGATGTAATTAATTCAAAGATATGATAAGTAAATTTGATGGCTTATTTACTACTAGTAAACGTAAGCAATAAGTCATTGTCAAATTAGTACATACACATACATTTTTTTCAATTTATTAAAATATAAGACTATTTATTAAAGTATAAGACTTTTTCATCGACAAGCCAATAAACTACATTCCGAAACTAATTGTACAATGTATTATTTTTAATATAACTGCCATTTTTTTAATATGGGAAGTCATGATTCTTCAATAATAAAACTTCATAGTTTATGATATTCTTTGTGTGATTGCGCGACTTGGCCAATTTTAATCTAAATCCGAATAGGTGAGCTCTATGAATAGCAGCAGAATGTAAAGTTCACTAATCAAACTAAGACGTGTATGATTTACAATTGCGACCATAAATTTATGGCCATCAATCCAGATTAAAAGTCCGTCTGCAAAAAATAATAATAATACAGTTCTGGATTCCCGGGTATAAATACGATTTTGTGCAATGTATCGGTAGCAGTAGCAATCACCAATCAGCAGTAGCAGCAATCATGAAGTCCGCCGTCGTCATTATCCTGACCCTTTTCGTGGCCAGTGGATGGTCGCAGCCCCTGGATATTCCCGCCCAGCTGGACGCCCAGGTGCGCAGTGTGGTGGACGAGATGGCCGACATTGGCAAGTCCACCGGCGAGGCCCTGGCGCATCAGTACAAGGAGATCGTCGTGGAGCCGCAGAACGAGCTGGAGGAGGCCCTCGACCAGGTGGAGTCCCGTCGCCAGGAGAGTCCCGAGTGCGTGGCCGCTGAGGATGAGGAGATCACCCGCATCGTGGACACCGCCCACGAGGATCTGCACTCCTGCGGCGTGGTCGCCGCCCACACCTCCGCCGAGATCGCCTCCGACGTGAGCGCGGCCACCCAGCAACTGGTCTACGGGGGCTACAGCCTGGGACGCACCTACAACAAGTGCAACTCGTACAAGAATGCCGTGCTCAAGCAGACCTGCATGGCCAAGTTCTACGTGCAGGCCACCGTCTATCTGGTCAGTGCCCGCTCCTCCATCAAGACCATCCGCAAGTCCACCAGCGAACGCATCCCGGCCGTCTTCGTCGACGGCAACGTGTGCACCCACTCGGCCTCCTCGCAGGCGGTGCTCGGCCTCCAGGAGGTCAACACCCACATCGACGCCTGCGTCTCCCGCCGCCGCTAGGTCACCACCCATCCGTCATCCACACCTGGATATTGCAAATAAAAACAAGAGAGAACGCTATAGTCGGGTGCCCCGACTATCAGATACCCGTTACTCAGGTAAAGGGAGTGCGAGGGAGATGGAGATAGAAACTTTGATCACGCATAACTTTTTAACGAATGGTCCGATTTGAAAAATTTCTTCTACATTTCGATAGGTATTGATAAAGACAATGAAACTGCATTTTTACTTTTCCGAAATATTTAAATGTATCGCATATAAGCGATTGTGGGCGTTAAAGGGGGCGTGGCACCTTTTTGAAACAAACTTGCGCTGCGTAGGAACTCCTAGAATCTGCATGCAAAATGCCAATCTTCTAGCTTTTATAGTTTCCGAGATCTCAGCGTTCATACGGACGGACAGACAGACGGACAGACAGACGGACAGACGGACAGACGGACAGACGGACAGACGGACAGACGGACATGGCTATATCGACTCGGCTAGTGACCCTGATCAAGAATATATATACTTTATAGGGTCGGAAACGCTTCCTTCTAGCTGTTACATACTTTTGCACGAATACAATATACCCTTTTACTCTACGAGTAACGGGTATAATTATGGATATTCTATGAACATTTTATTTACATTTTTCTTTGGGGAGTTTTAATGGGGCTCAGGCGTCCTAAGATTTTTGTTATAGTCATTGGTTTTTGGCAACCGCTCTAATATTTGTTAGATCCCAAAAACGTACATGAGTAACTACATAATATATACTCAAAGAAAATATATTTCAGAAAACCGATTACCTTGTAGTGTTTGTTTCAATTGGGAGTTCTTTTGTTCTCAAAGCAAAAACCTTATTAATATTTCTTCTTAAAATAATTTTTATTAGCTAACTATTTCGGAAAACTATACAATTACAATTATTATTATTTATCCGTTGTCATTGGGATCGATATATGCGATATATAAAAAAGGAAGCAGTTTTAAAATATAGATTGTTTTATATTTCAAATGAACCTTATTACTATTTTTCTTGGAAAGTGCCTGAAATTCGTTATATATTTTTGTAGTTTCCAACTTATGAAGATAAAGCTAAGAGGAATTGAGTGGCTAAGACCTGCACTTGTTATTTCAAGAATTGCAACGTGTATATTTTACTTTTTAAATTTGAAATTTAAATTAAAAACCGGTTCCCAGGTAATTTTGCATGTCATGGTCACACTACCTGGCCTACTGGCTATGTGAAACTTAAAAGAGAACTAGTTCCGGCTCTGGTCTGGGAAATTGCAAGATGTTTGGATTGCTGCGACACCTGTTCAAATTGCAGTTTCTCTTCGTTGTGGCGGCCGTTTTGGCCGGATTCTACCACACGGAGATCAGGCAGTTCCTGCGGCGACATACGGACCACTACCTGGACCAAGCTGGCCGGAATGAAGGTATTCCGGTGGCCTTCCAAGCCGATGACGAAGTCGGCACGCTCTTCACGCCGGCTGAACTGTCGCAATTCAATGGGGAGGAGGGCCGCCCCCTCTATTTGGCCCTCCTGGGATCCGTATTCGATGTGAGCCGCGGGATCAAGCACTACGGATCCGGCTGCAGCTACAACTTCTTCGTGGGTCGCGACGCCTCCGTGTCGTTCATTTCCGGGGATTTCGATGCCTACGATCCGGAAACGGCCGACGATGTGCTCACCCTAAAGCCAGAGGATCTGATAGGCCTGGTCGGCTGGCGGGATTTCTACCAGAAGGACTACGTCTTTAAGGGCAGGCTGATCGGACGCTTCTACGATGACAGGGGTCAACTGACCACCTATCATCACAAGTTCCTGGAGCTGCTGCAGCAGGCGCAGGACGCCAAGCGGCAGGTGGAGGAGATGCGTGCCCGTTATCCCGGCTGCAATATCGAGTGGAGCGAATCCCAGGGCACCCGCGTTTGGTGCACGAAAACCAGCGGTGATGGCAAGGAGCGCTCCTGGATCGGTCATCCCCGCAAGCTCTACAGCCGCGGGAACAAGAATTTCCAGTGCGCCTGTGTGCCCGATTCGGAGCTGGACGAGATCGATGCCGGCGGCAATGCGGCCCACGCAGACGCAATGCTCAAACCATACGACAATTGTGAGCCCCGGGCACAAGAGTGCTTCTATAGGGTGTAGCAGCTAGCCTTGGATTTGTAAATATTGCAATTGACTAATAAAACGATAATCACAAATTTGATTTAACATTGCTGGTTCCGGTTCATTTCTGGTAGGCTTCCCAAGTCCGCTGTTAATGAGTAGCCCTGTTATTGAGTTGCGCTGTATTTGGAAAATGATGTATTAATGTTCGGTCAGATACTCAAAATATTAATGCAAAAATATCTCAATTTTTTAAGGAACTTTAGTCAGCTTAATCTGCGCAGAATTTGGAAGAATTATTGATCAGCCACAGTTTAACATCCTTGGCTTTCACTATAAGGGGAGTGCACTGTGCGTAACAGGCACACACTCTGTTAAACCCTGCTGTTAAGTTCGATAAGCGTGCTGTTAGGCGCATTTCTTGTTTACCTCTGGATCAATTTATTTGTACTCATTGATAATTTGATCATTTGAAGAATCCTTTAAGGATTAAGGGTGCTAAACATGGCCACCTCGCCAGGAAAGTCCCCCGCCTTGGATGCAGACCCCGAGCCCAGCGGCCTGCTCTCCGCCACCGTGGTGGCGGGTCTCCGGAACCTGGGAGCCATTATCTCGCCCCCACTGACCAAGCTGCTAATCGCCAACTCGCTGAAATTGACGCTCCATCCGGATGCTAGTGAGTACCAGGATGGGTAGTCGTCACATTCCTTGATTTAACTACACATATCATTCCACAGCCATTGCTCCCGTACCAGAGATCTATGCCAGCAATGCTGCCTGCGCGAAACAGAGCGAGTACGCCGTGGTCACCCTCTACGCGTTAGCCACCAAGCACGGATGGGACGGCCTTTACCTGCGCCAGCAACTGGAGCAACTGGCCCTGGACACCGGCGCCGTTGACGAACTGAGCCGCGTGTACGAGGACAACCGCAAGGAGCTGGTGCTTCGCCAGCTGCAGCTAGGCCACGGCTTCCCGCACATCACCGACATCCAGTGGCGCATCGTGTGCGACGTCAAGTCCTCCACCTCCGACTGCAGCACGGGCGTGGCCCACTTCCACATCAATCTGGGAAACTTCCGGCCGAGCAGCGGGGAGCGGGTGACCATCGTGGAGTTCGTCTGCAACGCCGAGGAGCTGCAGTCGCTGATCAACCGCCTCAAGGAGATCGAGCGGCACTGCAACCAGATGGCCGTAGCCTAGGACACACTCTCAACATTCTTATCGATTATATTTCGCAGCATATATAACACAAGCATTTGTCGGCTATATACAGTGTCGGAACAGAAAACCTAAACAGTTAACACAGTCATCATCACTAAAAGGCGTCAGCTACATCATTGACTCGATGCCATCCACGTCATTGGGGCACCTTGTGCGGCTTTGGCTGCGGCGGCACCAGCAACTCCACCAGCTGGCCGTAGTGATTCGGCGCCGTGCAGTAAATGGTGCCCGAGAAGTGGGTGCGATCGTTCTCCTCGGCGGCAATCACTGTGCAGTGGTTTTGCTGCGACAGGCGCATATTCAGTCCGCGGAAACGGTGATCCTGCTTGTACAGATTGGACCCGTCCCGCGGCATGAAGTAGGGTCGTCCGCTGAAAGGGTTTAAGAAGTCCGCCCAGTAGCCCAGCGACAGCAGGCGATCGCACATGTCCCGCGCAGCCAGTACAAACTGAAAATGTAGTTGCCATTAGCTATATGCTCAATAGTGATCTTAGTTTACTTGTGTATATAGTTGCCAGACTCTAAAATTGTAGCTTTTAGTGTTTCCTGATTATACTGATATACCTTTATTATGGCATTTTATAAATAAACTAGATGAAGACAGTTGAACTTTTGAAACTATGTATTACAAGCGATCTTCCCTTACTCAAATTTTCTTAAAATCAATCCAATTGTATTCCATATTAATAATAGAAACGATTAGCTCTATTACTGGAATTTTACAATCGATAATTAGAGATATTAATGAATCTTCAAAACAATACATAAAAAGTTACACTACATTTTTTTACAACTGATTTCGCGCTTGTTTTTTGCCGTATTATATGCTCCGTTTATGTATCCTATATTATTATATTGTTTTTTAGTAAATTAAGTGAAATAGAATGAAATATTCAGACAAATTGTAATTCAATTGTTAATTAAAGAATCATCAACAAATGCTTCCTAGTATTCTAAATATATATAGTATGCCAATTGGTACTTGTTATAGCGATCCTGCGCTGTATAAGGAAGGTCAGCCACATCGGTTTCAACGTGAGAAACCGGTTTGATTTAATACATTCATCTGATCAAGGCTATTGCTCTGTAATCGACAAACTGAATACCTAAAGTACGTTAATGAATAATGAGAGTAAATTTGGCAACTCTCATTTCAATGTGGCCACGTAAATCCTACACATAACTGACTAAACTAGGGTCTGGATCATCACGAGCTTCTGACTAAACTACAGACTGCATCCTCACCTTGGCGGCCCCCATTTCGATGTCTCCTTCGTAGCTCAGGACGAGCATGGTAATGGACGAGTCCCGCTGCGCCACGACGCGCACTGGGAAGAGCTCCACGAGCGAGTCGCGGATGAGCATGGGGCACTGGCAGCAGGCGAACTCCAGGCGCGACTTGTCCGCATTAGCCTCCTTGAGGAAGTTGACCAGCTGGCCGAGTGGGGTCAGCAGGCCGACGGTGGTGGTGTCACCCTGCCAGGCGGGTCCGGTGGCATTGGGCAGGTAGAAGCGATTGCTTCTGGCCGCTGTCAACTCCCAGTTGGGCTCGCTCTCCAGGCTGTTCAGTTCATCGTCGCCGTCGAGGTCGCGCGACTTGGACACCGTTTTGAAGGGCTCGCCTGCATCTGAGGGCGGTCCGTTTCGCTTGGAGTAGCTGGCCACCGGGATGGTGGGCTGGGTGGTCACCTGGCCGCTGAGGAGTTGGCGTAGACTGTTGGTGGGCCAATTCCCGGGTCCGAGGGGGATCAGTACACGACTCAGAGAGCGCGACATTATTATATCATAGGCTTCTGCAAATGCGTAGAATCTGCTGGCAATCGCTGCTGTTTCCGATCCGATCCGATCCCAAGGTAAACTCACTTTCGCTGGCGGCTGGAGGAGATCTGCTCTGCTCTGCGGGCGTGCGGGATTGATGCCGGATTCCGTGTGCCCTTTGAATTTTACGTGGAATTTTGTTTGGGTTTTTGGCTACAAGCTATTGTGGGTCCGGCAGAGTAGACTTGAATTCAATCCAAACGGCTGCTAGTTCTACGCAGTTCCGTTTTTCGTTTTACTAAACTTTTCAGTATCGGCGAACAGCTGTTTCGAATCGATAGAGCCGATAAGGGACTTTCGATAGCGATGACAAAAGCTCACACGGAAATATCGATAAGTTTGCGGTTCGGCCAAAGGCTATCGGCTGTTAAAGCTCTGATTTTGAATTTATATTTAAAACTCGATCGTTAAATATGAAATTCGGTTGATAAATTACCGATTGCGGAAAAACAGACGAAAATTGGGAAAATCGTGACAAAAGTTTACCTGGTGAACCATCTATTAGTCTTTTATCACTACTTTAAAACCGTATTTACCACACAAACATTTTAGCTAGCTTTACATGTGCAGTAAATTCGTCAAACAAATAAGACCGCGAATTCTTTAGCACAATAGTAATCCACATTTACCACATTATCTTTGTATTTGGCGGTTGATTAATTATCAATCGGGAATTCTTTACACAAGTAGATTAATGTTTAAAACCCCAATAACATCGCACACTTTTGCTTTCAAAATTTGTATTGTATTTAATTGAATTATATAGATTGGAGTGATATTGATTACGCGTAGAACTAGGGACATTTACTGGCACTGGCTGAGGGCATGGGTGTAGAAGGTCTTCTCCTCAACGCCCCGCTTGATCACGTGCGGTATCTTTTTGGGCACCATGCTGGAATTGCAGAGAAAAGATACAAATTAGTATCTGGAAACTGGGAAGGCAGATGCTTCGGGACTCACGTGATGCAGTCGATGATGGGACAGACGGAGACGCAGAGTGTGCAGCCCGTGCAGTCGTCGTTCACGTGCGGAATGTGCGTGTCCTTGTCGAACTCGATGGCCTGGTATCCGGAATCGGCACATGTCATATAACACTTTCCGCAGTTGATGCACATGTCCTGGAAAAATATATATATATTCGTTAGGATCAAAACTTTTAATTAGTGGTGCAGTATAGTATTATATTATTTTAGACCAAAGATTACAAGTTATTTAAAACATTTTACTTAAAATATGATAATTTTAGGATTTTAACCTATATATGTTTATATAAACATGAATATTATAATCGAAAAAAATCAAAAATGACTCTGTTAGTAAGTTTTGTTGAAGTCAATTAAATATGGATTCGAAAAATCGGATTAAAAAATTCCAACTTTGGAATAGTAATAGTAATAGTAACAAAACTCACATCGTCGATTAGTGCCACCTTCTGCTGCTTGTTGTCCAGTTTGTTGTACGACCCGATCTTGTCCAGTGCCGCGCCGATGACATCCTTGATCCTCGGAGCCGCCTTGGGTGCTCCATCCGCCGCCGGCGCAGCGTTCGTGGCCTGCTCGGCATCCCAGAGAGCTCCCTTCTGGCGGCGCAGGTCGGCCAGCTGGATGTCCCGCTGCCGCTGGTAGGGACCGAAGAAGCCCAGCGTGGTGTTGCCCTCGCCGGTCAGCCGGACCACCGGCTTGCCCTTCTGGTGGACGGGCGTGGGCGGCGACTGGCCGTCCCAGAAGGGGCCGTCCACCGGTGGCGGATTGGCCTTCAGGTAGAGCAGGGTCTTCAGCGCCGTGCAGTAGTCCTCGATGACGGTGAAGTCCTGGTTCTGCACGGAGGAGCAGATCTGCAGGACAGTGGCGCCCGCCTGGATGAACTGCAGGGCCACCTCACCGGAATCGATGCCGCCGATGCCGAGGATGGGGAATCCGGGCACACGCCGCGCAATATCGGAGATGGCCTTGAGGGCCATCGGCCGGGTCGCGTTCCCGGAGACGCCGCCGTAGGTGGTGCGTTGCTCCTTGCCAATTGCTGGCCAGGCGGTGGAGTCCGCCTTCAGGCCCATCAGTCCCTGGACCGTGTTGATGGCCGATCCGCCGTCGGCTCCTCCCTTCTGGGCCGCCTCCGCAATGGATGCGATATCCGTGATGTTGGGAGTCAGCTTGATGAAGAAGGGCAGCTTGACGGCCCGACGCACCCAGCGCGATATCTGCTCGACCAGCTGGGGATCCTGGCCACAGGCCAGACCCATTCCCCGCTCGCCCATGCCGTGCGGACAGGAGAGATTCAGCTCGAGGGCGTCCGCACCGGACTGCTCCGCCTTGATGGCCAGCTCCGTCCAGTCGGCCTCGTTGAAGCTGCACATGATGCTGGCTATCACGATCTTCTCGGGGAAGTCCCGCTTAAGCTCGCCAATCGACCGAAGCCAGTACTCGGCCCGCTTCTCCGAGATGAGCTCGATGTTCAGGAAGCAGCCCTGCTGCGGTCCATACTTATAGCCGGATGTGGTGCCCCGGACGATGCGCGGCGACACGTTCGTGACCAGATCCTTGTCCAGGCCAAAGGTCTTGGTGACCACGTAGCCCCAGCCCTGCTCGAAGGCGCGCCGGATCATGGCCGTGCTGGTGGTGGGCGGAGCGGAGGCCAGGCCGAAGGGGTTCTCGAACTTGAGGCCGCACATCTCCACGGAAATGTCCACTGCATCGATGTCCGTGTAGAAGAGCGGCAGGGCGGCGGGTGTGTCCAGGGGCAGACCCTGCAGCTGGCAGTGGATGCTCCAGGCGGCCACCTTGCCGTCGTTCACCGATTCCACCGTGGTGTTGGCCACCCCGGCGAGATCTCCGCCCAGGAACACCTGCTTCAGACTGCTCTGCATGGTCACACGGTCCACCACGGGCAGTTCGCCGCGGAATTGCAGCGGCGCCAGTGCCTCGCGCACATCGTGGTCCTCCAAGCCGGATCCAAAGGCGGAGATCACAAAGTTCGCTTTCAAGCGCTGCGTCTGCTCCTCATCCTCCACCCACTCGTCGTTTTCGTTCTGCTCGGTGCGACAGAACTCCATGGCGGTGATCAGGCCCTCCTTGACGATCACCTTGCGGGGAGTGAGGTAGGGCAGCAGCTCGCACCGCTCGTCGCGGGCCAGCTCCACCTCCTCGGGAACGGCACGGATCCCGGAGGATCCCTTGCGGAACACCACGAACACGCGCCGGGCACCACATCTCAGGGCCGAGGTGGCGCAGTCGAAGGCCGTGTCTCCAGCTCCCAGAACGATGACGTTGCCATGCAGCTTGGGCAATCCGGCGGCGGCCTTGCAGGCGCACAAGCCCGGCTTCGACCCATCCGACACCAGGGGCAGGAAGTTCTTGGACGTGTAGAAACCGTTGCTGGGCTCCAGTCCCGCAAAGATCGGGTTCAACTTGGGCTCCGGCAGGCCAATGCCCACGAAGACCGCATCGTGACCGCCGGAGAGCAGGCCCTGGATGGTCAGATCCCCGGTGCCCAGCGAGCGACCCGTCTCGATTCGCACGCCCAGATTCTTGACCAGATCGATCTCGAAGTTGACCGCATCGATGGGCAACCGGTACTGGGGTATCTCGGCGGCACTGAGGCCGCCCAGGTAGCTCCTCCGCTCGTAGATGGTCACGTCGCGGTAGCCCAGTCGCGCCAGGAAGGTGGCGCAGGACAGCGAGGCTGGTCCGCCGCCCACGAGGGCGATCCGTCCACCCAGAGGATTCGCCTCTGCCTGCGGCGTCCGCCGCTGGCGCACTCCCATCCGCTTGAACACCTCGGTGGCGAACTGCTGCAGCCCGCCAATGTTAATCGGACCCGCCTCCGAGGCCTGTAGATTGCAGCCGCCGACGCAGAGATCGCTGGTGGGACAGACCATGCCGCAGGTCAGACCCAGCGGATTGTCCGAGAAGATCGCCTTGGCGGCGCCGTAGAAGTTCTTGTTGGCGATGCTCGTGATGAAGCTCTTGATGTCCAGCTGCGTGGGACAGGACTTCTGGCAGGGCGCGTCCGCGCACTTCAGGCACCGGGCCGCCTCCTCCAGAGCACCTCGCTCCGACAGCGTCGTGTGCTTGATGTCCGAGAAGTCGTTGGCCAGCGTGGTGCATGGCGGAGCCGCGTGGTCCGCATTACGCTTCCAGTGCTTCTTGTTCTCCTTCGTCTGCCTGGTGGGCACCACCGAGCACTGGGTCTTCACGCGCGGATTCAGGGACAGCAGGTCCTGAGGGAGAAGATATCGTAATGTATATCATAAACCAAGCATACATACTTAAGACCTACATTTTATGCCACTTCGCAGATTTTTAGAGAATCGAATCACAAATCTTTAGAGGTATGTCACTTTGAAATCCGATTAAATTTGGTAAAGTTATGGACTCTCAAAATCCAGTTTTGGGTCACTCTATTTCAAGACATCGGAAAATCAGAAATAACAAACATGAAAATGGGTCAAAAATTTGATCAACGGTAAATTGAAAATTTTGAATGCAGATTTTTAGAGGATCGAATCACAAATCTTTAGAGGTATGTCACTTTGGAATCGGATTATATTTGGTAAAGTTATGGACTCTACAAGTCCAATTTTGGGTCACTCTATTTCAAGACATCAGAAAATCAGAAATAACTAACATGAAAATGGGTCAAAAATTTGATCAACGGTAAATTGAAAATTTTGAATGCAGATTTTTATAGAATCGAATCACAAATCTTTAGAGGTATGCCACTTCGGAATTCGATTAAATTTGGTAAAGTTATGGACTCTCGAAGTCCAATTTTGGGTCACTCTATTTCAAAACATCGGAAAATCAGAAATAACTAACATGAAAATGGGTCAAAAATTTGATCAACGGTAAATTGAAAATTTTGAATGCAGATTTTTAGAGAATCGAATCACAAATCTTTAGAGGTATGTCACTTCGGAATCGGATTATATTTGGTAAAGTTATGGACTCTCGAAGTCCAATTTTGGGACACTCTATTTCAAAACATCGGAAAATCAGAAATAACTAACATGAAAATGGGTCAAAAATTTGATCAACGGTAAATTGAAAATTTTGAATGCAGATTTTTAGAGGATCGAATCACAAATCTTTAGAGGTATGTCACTTTGGAATCCGATTAAATTTGGTAAAGTTATGGACTCTCGAAGTCCAATTTTGGGTCACCCTATTTCAAGACATCGGAAAATCAGAAATAACTAACATGAAAATGGGTCAAAAATTTGATCAATGGTAAATTGAAAATGTTGAATGCAGATTT